GTTAATGGAGAAAAAAGCTTTTCCCAAGCCTGCTGGCTCTTAATTGCCTTCAGCTCAAAACAATCCACATGCCAAAGTGGCACGTTATGGGGAGACTTATTCTGCTCCCCCTCAACTTTTTACACAAGCCTTCACAATACCTAAAGTCAGGGAAGGCTGTGTGTGTGTGTGTGTGTGTGTGTGTGTGTGTGTGTGTGTGTGTGTGTGTAAGCTAAATTGCCAAACCACAGTAATTTTGAGTAGCATGTTTCCGTTGTCACACAGTCACATACAACTGCTTCTTACCTGACAAATTGCTTGATTTGCTAAATGAAGGCATCTTTTCACTTACCACCAAGGGGAAACAAATGGTCTATGATGACCACGAGCAGAGGTAACATTTTACATCAAGTGAAAATTACAAACCTCTTCTGTGGAGTCAAAGGCAACCTCAGCAATGGTTTTTATTCATTGAAACATATTTTCTATTTGTTTCTTGTTTTAATTTTCTTATGATAATCAAACTAATATATGCTTAAAATCATTTTAAAAGAGTAGAACATTTGCCCTGGCCGGTGAGGCTCAGTTGGTTGAGCTTCCCTGGTTCAATCCGCAACCCGAGCACAGGGTTGTGGGCTCAATCCCCAGTAGGGGGCATGCAGCAGGCAGCTAATGGATGGTTCTCTCATCAGTGTTTCTCCCTTCCTCTCTCTAAAATCAATAAAAACATATTTTTTAAAAAAGATAAGAACACTTGATTTTTTTTTTTTTTTGCAAGGAGCCTGGGGCTGACTTCATATAATTCATGCAGCTTGCGCCACTCCTGAATTACATGCTATGCTTAGTTTTCCCAAGGGATCAGCCTGTAGGAGACTGAAACTGTGGCCTTCAGCTACCGAGTGAGCCGAGTCTAGGGTTTCTAGGCCTCTTGCTTAAAAGCTCTCCTGTGCCAAGTGGCCAGGACATGCCCTTCTAGCAGGGGAGCTCAGACTTTCTCCTTATAGCCTCAGTACTGCTCCGGAGACACAATGCCACATCCGCCTCACCCAATGTGTAACACTGGCATTCCTAACATGCGGCCCCTGACGACTTCCTCAGACAGGGCCTGAAACTCCAGGGCTATGGGGCCCAGATGAAAGGAGGGCATCTTCTCCGGGTAGTAGGACTGACTACATAATTTGCAGGACCCAGTGCAAAATAAAAATATGGGCTCCCCCTCAAAAAACTGTTAAGAATTGCAGGACAGGAACAGCAGACTATTAAACCAAGTGCAGGACCCCTCTGACCTTGGTTCCCTGTGTGACTGCATAGGTCACATACCCATTAATCTGGCCCAGCTCGGAAATAGTACAGCCACAACTTTGAGCCTTTCTATATGCACTTTTAGACACATTTACTGCTCTTAACCCATTTTGATGAAGACTCTGGGGTTTTGTGAGGTTAAGTAATTTTCCCAAGGTCACACAGCCAGTAAGCCCTAGAGTCTGGATTTGCACTCTCCAGCCCTGCTTCCAGGGCAAAGGGTAGGTAATTGTTTCACATTTAACAGAGTCCATTGTAGCTAAACAATGCCTTCTTGTTGTGGAAGGAAGGGATAGGATCTTCCCTGATAAGCCTAGACTGCTCACAGCCAGGAAAAACTGCCTAGAGTCCGAGAGCCTCTAAAAGTATACAACTGTTTCAAAAGGCTTAACTACCATTTCTGACAACCCAGCCCATACAGCTTTAGCAGCCTCTCCTCACAGTCACTCACCAGTACCCAGGAGCTGTTTGTTTTCTCCCCTACCCCTCCTTTCAGGAAAAATAGCTTTAAGGGGTTTTAGAGTCCTTACTTAACAGCTCTATTCTCTCCTGCCTCCAGCACCACCTGACCCTCTCCTTCCCCCTGAACTACCCTTCACAATACCATTCTAGCACCAGAGCTTTGGGTCTCCCAGAGCACCCCCACCTTGGGCCTGCGCTGGCACAGTGTCCAGCAGTTCAGAGCCCCAGGGGGGCAGGCAGAGGGGGATCCTGAAAACTCACTGCAGAGCTCTTCCATGCCTGGGTGCAGACTCTTGTGAGGCATTAGGGGCTGAATGCTTAGAAAGAGGGGCTGCACCTCAAGGCCCAGGATGTAAAGGACAAGTGGAGAAAAGGCCATGAAGACCGGGAGCATGGGAGAAGGCAGCTGTGTCCAGTTTGGAGCTACGACCGACTAACACAATACTTTTGAGGGCTGAAGTAATCAAACTGAGAACACCTCATTGGAGGAAAGACTGAACACATTCCTATTCGCTATTTTTATTTCTGGTTCTAAATCAGTCCTACATTTCCTGCTGGTCCTGAATTCTTGCAATTTTTTTTTCTCTCTCCAGTCACAGGTAAAGTGCAATAAAAGGGGTGGGGGCAGAAGTCACATAAACCAATGGAATAAAAATCTGCCCAGCCGCGGGAGCCTAAGATTGATACAAAGAATTTCTCCTTGTGGAAGCTGCTTTCTGCTTTGTAGTGCTAATTAGTGCACAGGACTCTCCTGAGTTTGTGTGTACACAGCAAAATGTTCTTCATCTCTTCATTGTTGTTATATAACTCATGAAAAAGTGTGCAAGCCTGGACAGTGGGTGACCTGAAGCACATTGGTACATCTGGCAAGATGAATGCCAATGAGAACCAACATTTTCTGCATGATCTGACAAGATCTAGCTTCTAATATGCAGGTCTTCATTTCTTTCTTTCTTTTTTTAATTGATTTTTTAGAGAGGGAGGAGAGGGGGAGAGAAAAAGAGAAACATCGATTTGTTGTTCCACTCATCTATGCATTTATTGGTTGATTCTTGTACGAGCCCTGACCCAGGACTGAATCAGGACGATGTTCTAACCAGCTGAGCTCCCAGGTCAGGGAGCAGGTCTTCATTTCTTTACAATTTTTTAACCCTCACCCGAGTATATTTTTCCCATTGCTTTTCACAGAATGGGAGAGCGAGAGAGAAACATCAAAGTAAGAGACACACATTATTGGTTGCCTCCCATACGGACCAAAATCGAACCCAGGACCCTTCTGTCTGGGAGGGGGGATACTCTAACCACTGAGCAAAACTATCCAGTGCCGCAGGTCTTCATTTCTGAAACTAAGTTTCAACAAGACCAAGTGAGCTTATCAACCAGGGTAGGCTATGTTATGGTGCAATAACACAAACCCTCATATCTTTGTGATTTAAACATCAAAGGTTTATTTTCTACTTTCAATACACATCCATTGTGGGCTGGCAGGGTGACTCTTCCTATCAGTCACTCAGGGTCTCAGGTTGGCAGAGAAGCCATATCTTTTTTTTAAAATATATCTTTATTGATTTCAGAGAGGAAAGGAGAGGGAGAGAGATAGAAACATCAATAATGACAGTCACTGATAGGCTGCCTCCCGCACTTCCCGGACTGGGGATCGAGCCCGCAACCCGGGCACATGCTCTGACCGGGACTTGAACCCCGATCGCCTGGATCCTAGGTCGACGCTCAACCCGAGCCACGCCCAGCCGGGTGAGAAGCAGTATCTTGAATGTTGCCAGTTGCCAGATCCAAGGGGAAAAAATGCTCAGGAAAGTCTCCAGGGCAATTAAATGCCCAGAAATGACTCACATCACTTCCACGCACAACTCATTAGCCAGAACTAGTTGACTGACTGCACTCAACCACAAGGGGGCCAGGAAGTGCTGGAAGGGGAGAGACCTGCACTTTCTGGTAAACCCCTCTATTGGTTGGAAGTTGGAGGACAACAGGATGAATGTCCATAGAAGGGCAGGTGCTTTAGGGGTGCGACTGCTGGCTCTGCTGCGGTAACAACATGAAGTAACACTTCAAACGTCCTCAGGCATCTGAAACCTCAAATGGCTGCACATCCTGTGTGTTCAGCTTCTTCAACAAACAGGATTTACTTACAGTGAAGTTTCAGGTCCGAAAGCCCAAGACTGAGCACCATTCACTACCCGACCACCACCTTGAGCTGGGAAGTGTGGGTGAGTTTCAGATTTACGAGGACCAAGTACTTTATCCATAATGAATTTCTGAGATTCAGCACTGTTAGTGGAGATGGGTACCACTATTTGCCACCTTCCCCTGGTCACTGACTATCCAACATCACCCAGGAACAACCTCCTCCTTTGCTCTAAAAGAGAATAGATTAAAGCTTAACTTGAATAAATTCAGCAAACCCTCCCCCAGTAGCATATGTGTAATTCAGCTGCTCGAATGGGAAAAACTTATAATCTATTTAAATAGCCTTTCAACAGTTTCCTCTAGTCATAAAATAGCATCTCAAAAAATAACATGTATGCAGCCTTAATAATATTAGAATGAATATCATTAATGTTTATAAGTACTATAGACTTATTTGTATAAACTCTCTTATCAATGTATATTTAGATTGCTTTACACTCAGAAAATCTCTGGGATGAATATCTCTTCCTATCTATGGATGGGGATCAGAGTAGGTCACCCAAAATATGCCACTTTGGCATAAGGATTATTTTAAGCTGAAGGCAGCTGAGAAACAGCAGACATACAAAGGGCTCCCTGCCCTCCTCCTTTTTGCCTAAGAGCAGGACATAAATTTCCCATGAGAAATTTTCCCATCCCTGTACCAGGAGATAGGGAGCCACTGCCAAGATGAATCTGTGCAAACAAATCTTACTAAAATCTTACTAAAAACCCTTATCTTCCTTAGTTTCCCCCATATTTCCCCACAATGTACTGCCCCTCAAAGCTCACACCCCCTCTGCCTTGTCCCATCTCCACAATTTATCACTGTTTGTTAAGAATGGTATATAAGCTCTCAGGCCTAATGGCTTCTTTGGAGTTCTCACTCCACTTCTGTGAGCAGCCCCCCATATGCATATAAGCCTTTTTCTCCCGTTAATCGGTCTTCTGTCAGTTTAATTTGTAGGGCCTCAGCCACTGAACCTAAGGCTGTAAAGGAAAAAGTTTTTCCCTCCCCTACAACATTTTCATCCACAGATCCAATTATTTCTTTGGACTGAAATTGCACGTCACGTTTTTGACAATGATATTTATTGCCAAAGTGCTCTTAAAGAGACTGTAGACATATTCCAGGTATGTGTTATTCTGATGAGGTGAATTGTTTTCTTAGACCTAAATCCCACTACTTCACGAAGCCTTCTACTTCCACTCGCCACCATCACTTTTCCTTTTGTGAAATCCTTCCCATCTAGGGTCTGCAGCAGTTTGTAGCTGAGCACTTCACTGTTGTCTTAATTCATTTTTAAAATAGAAGAAGAGCCCCGGACAGGTGGCTCAGTTGGTTGAAGCATTTCGCATTTGATCCTTGCTCAGGGTGCATAGGGGAGGCAACTAGTTGATGTTTCTGTCTCCCATTGATGTTTCTCTCTCTGAAAACCAATGAAAGAACATTAAAAACAAACAAACAAACAAAAAACCCTAAAAAAAGAAGAAATTCCAGTCACAATTTTGAAAATGAAATGTATTTTAATACACACTGCCTTTATAATTATTCAAAGTGTGTGTATACATTTTTTTGGGACACCCTGTATTTGTGCCTGGTCCTACACAAGGCAGTACAAACACAAATATGAATTAGAGCAAGTTATCACATTCCAAAAGCTCATAGTCGGGTGGGCATCTAAACCTTTTGCTGTTGTTAAATGCACCTTGTAAGTAGTTGTGGGGTGCAGTCGGAGGTTAAAAAATGGGTACAATTAGTCCCCTGCCTATTGTCTGACAGAACAGTACTGGCACAGTAAATGGTGTCTGTTTATGAGTCTCGGGCACTAATTAGAGAGGTGCTCAAATTTACACTTCTCTCAGCAATGTGGGAATGTAATTGCAAAAGCAGAGTAAGTTTCCCATCTGAAAGAACCACTTCTTACTCATCCCAGCAGCTGCAGCATTTGGCCCACATAGAAGACACTCGGAAATGTCTGTTGAATGACGGCGGAGTGAATAAATGCATGGATGGATGAAGGCAGCTTACTGTAAGCAAGGACAAACTCAATTTTAAGTATTTACAATCTCCCCAAATCTACAGAAGGCAGATCTGGGGATGTAAAGTACAGCACAGGGAATATAGTCAATAATATTATATTAACTATGTATGATGCCAGGTAGGTACTGAAAATATGGGGGGGGGGTACTTTGTAAAGTATGTGATTGTCTAACCACTATGCTGTACACCTGAAACTAATACAAATAATACTGAATGTAAAATGTAATTGAAAAATAAAATAAAATAATAAAGAAGGCAACACCTTCTGATGGCGCCTTTGTTTGGATGACGGGGTGGAGAAGCATTGAGGAGCAGTTGGTAGGGAATAAAAGGTCCTCTAGTATAAAGGAAAAGAAAAATCCTGGGAGATAGCTACGAAGGGGGGAGGAGGGGTTCATGACAAAAGCAGAGCATAGTCTGGAGACCTATGGAGAGATGTGGCAGCTGCTACAGCGCACGGGTGTGAAGATACGTTTTAAGACTTTTAGGAAGTCTGTTCTAAGTGATTTGTCATGCAACTCCCTCTCCCATCGCCCCAAAAAACATTAAGTAAAAACAGTGTGCTCTCGTGTGGCCGTGAGCACAGGGTGGGAGCAGGGAGGCAGGCCCAGGGCCGAGGCTCACAGACCTGAACTCTTGCTGAGTCAGAGCCGTTATTTGGTGACCCAAGGGGAAGAGGGAGGGGACACCAATGAGTTACGCGGGACTACAGCGGTGGGGAGGGTCTAGGGTGACATCACCTGGCTCCAGAAGGGGTGGGCAGTCAGGAAATAAGTGATTCCCCGCCCGTCTGCGCAGCACGGCGCCCGGGGCCCGGAGCTCGGGATGTATTTTCTGACTGAATACATCGCACAGGATTGAGGCGCGGACGGATCATGGCAATCAGTGAGGCGGAAACTACTACCCCCAAGGCAGAGATGAAGAGAGTGAGGCGCGAAGTCACTCACTGGGTCCAGGTATCTCCGCGGTCTGGGCGGAAGCCGGGCGGAGCTAAAGCCGCATTTCTCACTCCAGTTTCTCCCGCGCTCCTCCGAACGCCAATTCACACCCGGGTACCCCAGCCCCGCCCCACGCAACCGCACTTCCGGGCCTCGCCCCGCCCACCCGCGGGTACTTCCGGTATCCCGCGCGAGAAGCTGCAGCCTCGAGCTATGGGTAAGTCTGCGCTGCGAGAACTTACAGAAGCAGTCCTTGAGCAGGGCCACAGCCGGTCCAGGCGACAGTGGGCTCCTATTTTTAGGGTTACTACCGAACATTACGCACCCGCCATTTCCGTCGCAAAGTCCTGCAGGCCAGGATGTGGGTGACGTCACTTCCTGGGCCTTGCGAGCAGGCGAAGGCCAGAAGTGGCTTCAGCTCCACCTGGCGGCTGGGAGGAGTCACGGCGGATCTCGGAATATCCAGGTTTCGCGCTGTAGTGCCTTGCCTGGGCGTTTGAGAAGGTGTCCCGATTAGAGTTCATGGGTTTAGCAAATAAAAATACAGGACATCTAAAAAAATAAAAATAAAATAAATGCAGAACGTCTGGTTAAATTTGAATATCAGGTAAACAACAAATAACATCTCAGCATAGGTATGTTCCAAATATTCTATGGGACACCCCTGTATTAAAACAATTCTTGATCACTAAGTTGTACACCTGAAACTAATATAACATTGTTAAATGTTTGTTAAGAAAAAAATTCCTCAATTATGTGAAATTCAGATTTAACTGGGCGTTCTCTATTTTCTCTGGCAACCTTAACCTTGAGCACCCTCTTGCCCTGGGCTCTGCTATCCAGTAGCAAGGCTGGGGATCCACTAGGCCTGTGTCCACCTGGGAAATAAGTACAAAGTTCACCCAGGCTAAAAAAATCAGCTGTTGCTAGATGCTAAGATGCTTTTAACTCCAAGCCTAATGGGGACCAGCTCCAGGAGCCCCCTGGCAAAAGCTGGGCCCATTTTTGGAGTCCTCATCATGGTGCTGTGTTCCCTTTCACAACTGGGGTCAAACAGAGTTGGTCTCTTATGGGAAAGCTGAAAACCAGCAGGCTCAGTGGTCGAGGGCTAGAAGTTGCCAGGTTTTGTGAGTGTGGGATAAATTGGTGTTTGGGATTTCAGGTTTTCTGTGTTAACAGTGGACAGCTTCAGAGAGCCCAGGAGTTTCAAGAGGAAAGTATTAGTCTTAATTTCATCCCACTTCTCATTTTGCAGATGAGGCCCAGTGAGAGAAATGGAGCTCTTCTAACCACCCAGAAAACCTGTGGCAGAGCTGGAATCTGATTCCCAGCCTACTTCTCCTGCTCTGTCCACACTTGTTGCTACAGTCAACTGGCAGCATTTATGGTGGGCATTTATTAAAGTATCTGCCTTTTTAAAGATAAGCTCTTTGGGGTTTTTTTGTCCCTAAATTTCTCTACAGCCTCCTGACCTTCACCTCAAGGCTTCTTTAACCTTTACCCTGCCCCGTGGGGAAAATGATTATTTGGGCTCAGCTGTGGAAGCCTGGCCTTTCCCTGCTGTAGCCACTTGGCTCTCACCCCTGTGTGTGGTGTGGCCCAAGACTTGTTTTTGTTATGTGGGAGCCAATGGCATGCTATTGGCAGGGGTGGGTCTGGCCAGCCATGTAGGTGGAAGGGCGTCTTTTTCTGTCCTGCAGATTGGGTCCCCTGGTACATCACCTCATGTGTTGTCTAGGGATTTCTCTGAGGTTCTACCATGAGCTAGACTTTGCTGCCACTTCTAATTTGAAATTGAACCTATTGTTGGACTGGTCCTGAGTGCTGGGATCCCTCAGGCTGTATGTCTTTAGGATGTGTTCTGGGTCTGTCAGTGCTCTGGCAAGCCTACAGCCTCCCTACACAGGCCCACAAGCTAATGAAATAGAGCAAGCTGGAGGTCAGCGGGCTTGGGTCAGTTGGTGGGATGGCCAGCAGCCTCCTGGCAACAGAAGTGGTGAAGAGGCAAGGAAATAGTGCCAGAAAGGGGCGTTGCCCCTGGGTGAGAGCTCAGACTGAAGGGGTGGAGAAGGGGCGGGGCCAGGAACCCACTGATAGGAATTGCTCACTCTGTGAATAATTAACTCAGCCAAAGTGGGTGACCTGGGAGGAGGGCTCAGCTAACAGGACCTTTGGACTCCAGGCAGAGCATCCAGACGTCCGGCGTGTGGCCCGCAGAAGAGAAGGACATGGCTGGGTGGCAGGCCTGGGCTCTGAGGACTGGAGTGAGATCTGGCAGCTGTGGGCCTCGGAAAGTCTCCTGGGACTGGCAGATGGTCCATTCTTGCAGTAGCAGCTGTGGGGTCCGCTGTCCCTGAGCCATCAGGGGCTCCCTTCTCCAGCTTTGCAACTGCCTCACTAGTGCTTTCTTCCCCCCAGGTGGCTATGGGTGCCAGGTGGACCTGAAAGCAGTGGGGCATGGCTGTAGCCCTGCAGGTTTTGCCTCGCTTGGCCCGACCCCCATTACGCCCACTCCTCTGGAGGGGCCCAGGGGCACGACTGGCCAGTGGCATGGCCTTGGCAGAGCATGCTAGGAAGCTGTTCGAGTACACTGTTAGTTCAGTGCTGCCGGGCCCCATGATGCACCGAGCACTGTCCTTGGACCCTGGCAGCGGGCAGCTGAAGGTGCGGGATCGGAGCTTTCAACTGCGGCAGAATCTCTACCTGGTGGGCTTCGGCAAAGCTGTGCTGGGCATGGCAGCTGCAGCTGAGGAGCTACTGGGCCAGCATCTGGTGCAGGGAGTGATCAGCGTTCCCAAGGGGATCCGTGCTGCCATAGAGTGCAGTGGCAAGCAGTAAGGAGCTTTGGGGGGCTGCTCCCCACTGTCCATCTGGAAGGGAACCTGGGCCCATACTCAGGCTGGATCGGGGCCTCCCTTCCTCACTAGCTTCCCTTTTCTACTGGGTCTGGCCTGGTTCCAGGATGGGTGTCAGCAGGCCTTCTTGTTCTTGCCCCTCTCACTTGTACAGCTGGGAAATTAGATGGGAGAAGAGGAGCCCACTCCATCTCTTACTCTATTCTCTCTCTCCTCAGGGAGATGCTACTGAAGCCACACAGCCGTGTCCAGGTATTCGAGGGTGCAGAGGACAACCTGCCAGACCGTGATGCACTGCGGGCTGCATTAGCCATACGGCAGCTGGCCGAAGGACTGACAGCTGACGACCTGCTGCTTGTGCTCATCTCAGGTGCGGTGCCAGATTGGCTCAGGACAGTTGGATGGGTAAATGTCAGGTCTGCGAGAAACCATTGGTCTGAGCCCCCAGGGTCACAGAGCAGGTAAGGCAGTGAGGAAGTATGGCTGTGCCTGAGATGGCCCTGGGCCAGTTTGGCCTCCCCTGAGCTATGGAGTCCTCCCCTTGATTGACCAGTTTGCGGACCATGAGAGGGCACACAGGGAGCACCTAACTCAGAGTCTTGCAAGGAAAATGTCAATGCTCTTGCTGCTGTCTGTACCAATATCACCTGAGGCTAGAACCCAGGTCTCCAGCCCTCATGGAGCCCTCTCCTTGTTCCTCTGCTGCCCCATCCTGTGTCCCATCTGCCCCCTACTCCAAGATCTTAAGGAATAGTTCTTCCAGTACTTGCTGGGACCTGGACTACCCCAAGGCAGAGTACACACTCAGGTGCTCAGTCCCCCGGGTGTGGTGACTGCACACATTCACTGCATGCCCATATAGAGGCACCCTAAGCCCACCTTTCCGGCCCCCACCCTTTTCCTAATGCATTCACTGCCCTCCCGCATCCCTGGGTGAGGAAGTTTCTTTGCTGCCCCTCTGCCTGAAGTCCTCGCTGTCTCTGCAGGTGGGGGCTCGGCGCTGCTGCCCGCCCCCATCCCACCCGTCACCCTGGAGGAGAAGCAGACACTCACCAAGCTGCTGGCGGCCCGGGGAGCCACCATCCAGGAGCTGAACACCATCCGGAAGGCCCTGTCCCAGCTCAAGGGCGGGGGACTGGCTCAGGCTGCCTACCCTGCCCAGGTGTGTGAATCACTTCTTAGCCAGGCAGCCCTGGGTTGGTAGAGCCAGGCCCACATGTGCCCAGCAGGTGAAAGCCTAAAACGGTATAGATTGGCAGGGACCTAGTATGGAGTTCACAGAGCCATCAGAGAGGGACCTCAAAGAGGGTGCGGGGGAGTCCACATGGCCAGGTATTCTGCTAACCCACTTGAGAGGAGTTAGAAAGGGGCGGGGAAATGCACTGGTGGTGTAAAGTGTGTGGATACATGGGAAGGGGCCATTTGTCCTCAGCTCTGGGGTGAGGACCAGGCAGGACTGAGCCTTGCGTCTTTGCCCCCTTCCCAGGTGGTAAGCCTGATTCTGTCAGACGTGGTGGGAGACCCTGTGGAGGTGATTGCCAGCGGCCCCACTGTGGCCAGTGTCCACAACGTGCAAGATTGCCTGCACATCCTTAATCACTATGGCCTCCGCGCTGCCCTGCCACGCTCTGTGAAAACCGTACTGGCCCGGGCCGACTCTGACCCTCGTGGGCCACACACCTGTGGTCACGTCCTCAACGTGATCATTGGCTCCAATGCGCTCGCACTGGCTGAGGCCCAGCAGCAGGCTGAGGCGCTGGGATACCGGGCTGTGGTGCTGAGCGCAGCCATGCAGGGCGACGTGAAAAGTGTGGCCAAGTTCTACGGGCTGCTGGCCCGAGTGGCTGGAGCCCACCTCGCTCTGCCCGGCGCTGGAACCTCCGTGGAAGATGATGAACAACTCCGTGAGCAGGCGGCTGCACTCCAGCTCCCAGACCTGCAGCTGAAGGAGGCTCTGGAGGTCGTGTCGGGGGCTAGGGGCCCCGTGTGCCTGCTGGCTGGTGGCGAGCCCACAGTGCAGTTGCAGGGCTCGGGCAAGGGGGGCCGGAACCAGGAACTGGCCCTGCGTGTTGGGGTAGAGCTGGGACAACGGCCACTGGGGCCCATTGATGTGCTGTTTTTGAGTGGTGGCACTGATGGGAAGGATGGGCCCACAGAGGCAGCCGGGGCCTGGGTTATGCCTGAGCTTACCAGCCAGGCCACCGCTGAGGGCCTGGATGTGGCCACCTTCCTGGCCCACAATAACTCACATACCTTCTTCCACCGCTTCCAGGGTGGGGCCCAACTGCTGTACACAGGGATGACAGGCACCAATGTCATGGACGTCCACTTCCTATTCCTGCAGCCGCGGTGATGACATAGGTCATGTTTTGGGAGTCTAGAGAAAGCCTAGAGGGCAGAGTCCTGGGGCAGACCAGGGTTGGTCCCCAGGGCCTCACCAGCCTTAGGGCCCCTTCTCTCCTTGGCTCTGTCTGCATGGTTGGCCCTTACATCTTCCACCCAGGGCTCCTGCTTCACGTCCATTTCTCCAACCAGAGTGGAAGGATGGCGGCTCTCTCCCACCCTTACTTTCAGCCATGGCAGCAGGTACCCGAGACCAGGACAAGTCTTGGCCAGTTCACTGTTCCTGGAATTCCCTAGATAGCCCACTGCTGAGCACCCAAGCCTGTTTTCTCTGCAGGAGAAACAAGGACTGAAAATAAAAAAGACCACTCTGTGGGATCTCGATGCATCTTCTTTCTGCTCAAGGGAGCTGCGGGGGGGCTACAGCCACAAAACCCAGGCCCGATAGGAGTTCCGCACATGCTCTGCGCAACACACTTGGCACTTGTTTCATTTCAACAGGAGCCTGGGAGGGTTAAGCCTGGCTCCTGACATGCTCAATGAGAATGAGCAGAGACCCCAGGGAGGACAGGCCTAAGAACTGCAGTCCATGGGGTCTGGGAGGGACTGGCCACCCATCCAACAGTGACTCTCCTGAGTGGCATCCCTACCCCGGTCTCTAGTCTCTGCCATATGCCTCACTGGGTGCCTGCTTGCTACCTCCCACCAGGGTCATCCCTCCTGCTTTGGACAGCCCTTAGTCACAGACCCTACCTTCTTTGGCTGAGCTGCCCTCTATGAAGGGGCTACCCCAGCCACATAGGACATTGGACTTTGTTTCCTTGTGGCAGCCCTTTCCCCAGGCTGAGTACCCCCAGTTCCTTCAGCCATTCCTCTAGGGACAGTCTCATTCCTGGTACCAGCCTTGCTATGGGGATCTCCACTACTGGGATGGTGGGTCAGTGCAGTGATGGGGTCCAGCAGCCTCCTGCCCCTCCTCCTATTACAGCTGGTGGGGAAAGGGCCAGTGGGGAGGAAAGCAACAGAGGAGGGCTCCCTTGGCCAGGTCAGCTGCCTGTGCTGAGAAAAGGATGGGCCACTGTCCCGGCTCTCCTTGGGCCCCCTTGCTCAGTATCCAAGCCCTCCGCTGGCTGCCCCCGCCGTGCGCCACGGCTCCAATCCCTATATGAGTGAGCAGTAGAATCACATAGGAATAAAAAGCCATAGAGAACAGCGAGGCCTGGGGCTGCTTCTGCTGGACCCTCTGCCACCCCAGCCATCCCCTCCTTTCTGAAGGTGTGAGGGGCTCTGGACCAGAGCTGGCACCCTGGGAGCAGCCTTCCTTCCCCACTTGAACTCTGGACAGCCCAGCTTGCAGACAGTTCATGACCTGGGGACAGCACATCAGGCAGGCTGGCGATTGAGGGAGGTGAGCAGGTGAGCTGGGCTCTGAGGCCAAGGAGGTTTGGGGAAGAGGGGAGTTTGCACCACTCTGATGCAGAGGCACCAGTTTCTTCTGTCCTGCATGGAGTTTCTACTGACTAGGGAGGTCATAGTTTTAGGGGATATTGTCTCCACATGGCAGTGCCTATGTGCTGGTGCTCCTCTAGCAGCCTCCAGATATGCCCTGTCCCTGCTTCAATCCTTGCTCGCGGGACCATGAGTATTAGTACCAGGTGTCAAGTTCCAGGCAAGAGCATGAAAGGAGGGCTGGGCAGAGGACCTGTGCCATTTCCCCAATATGTGTATGTGTGTGCATGTTGGTGTTGGCATACCGAGAGGGGGGGTGCATGTTTGTGTGCACAGATACTCAGCACAAGAGCTATGCTGTGGCTTGTGTGCATGGCTGTTGACACACCTACTGAGGGGTTGGGCGGGTGTGGGGCCTTGCCAGAAGCTCCCCCTGTGCCACCTTGGTCCCTGCCCTTTGTCTGTTTGTGGGGACTGGGAGGCTGGGGGCTGGACTGAGCCTAACCCATTAGATTTGCTCATTTGGTAGCCCCGAGATGAGAGAATATATTTGGCCTCAATCTAAATGAAAATACGAGATAAACCCTGCATGGTGAGTGTTCAATAAGACTCATTATTTGCTCCATAAATGTCAAGTATGGGTCATAATGATTGCTCCCATCTCATGGCTCTTGGCTCTGTCTCTCCTGGCTCAGATTCCTGCTGCCCTCACACCCACCTTATCTCCATCCCCGGACTCTTCGTGGCCCTGCTGGAGCTTTTGTAGAGTGACTGTCACCCTTTGCTGCTGCTCTCACAGGCCCTTCCATTCTCTGAAATTGCCGTAAACTGAGAGCAGCTGGACAGTGAGCCTGGATAGCCCTTAGGTGTCAGCTAATCCAAATTCCTTTGTTTTATAGCTGGAAAAACAGAGAGGGGAGGTGGCTTGTCTGGAACTACACAGCAAGTTTGTCACAGAACCAGAATTAGAACCTGGTTGGGACCTACTTGACCATCCTTTGTGCACCCTCTGGAGCTCAGAGGGTCCAGCTAGGGCTGAGTCAAAGCCAGGGGTCCAGCTACGGCTGAGTCAAAGCCAGGGACCCACTCCTGCCTCCCTGCTGCCCCTCAAGGGCTTAGGGATGATGATAAGACCACACTTGGCATCTTTAGGGATCCATAAATCAGATTTGTCAGACCCTTTTGGCTCAGATTGCACAACTCCGTGTGTGCATATGATTTGGAAGGAAACCACATGCAGTTGGATAGTGGGCTTTTATACAAAGGTGCTTGTCTGCATCTGTACACACATCTGTATATGTGTGCATGGGGATGTGTGGGCATGTGTGTCCAGCTGAACCCACAACCAGTCACTGAGCCAGCCTCTGAGCTGTGCTCTGTTCCATGCCAGGGTAGAGACACAGTTTGGTGTAATTAGAATGTTGGGGATAAGGTGAAGCAAGATAGGCCAGGAGGCCATAAAGGTTGTCACAGGCCAATTGGCAAAGGGCCTTGTGTGTCTGGCCAAAGGGATTGGACTTCACATTGACAGTGGCGACAAGCCTCATGAGGATTTTTGGCGAGGAGTGATGCCAGGAGGCTGTTTTGGGACTTTGATACTGAGAGGCCTTCCTTACTGCAGGAGTGGGGGATAGGGCATGCAAGGAGGTAGAGGAGGTATCACAGGTGGGAAAGAGGTATGTCACCAGGCTCAGGAACCCCTTCCCACCTCCCCTCTGCAGCTTCATCCAGCAGCCCTCAGCCAGCCTAGGCAACCTTTTAAATGCTCACTTTGGAAGCCCTGGCTCAACGCCATTCCCCCCCCCCCGGAGTAACCTAGCCCCTCTGTCCCTGGGAATGCCGTTAGGGTCTTGAGGATTTAGGGGGCAGAGAGGCTGGGCAACTGGTGGACACTTTGGTGAACACAGGTACCCTGTTCTCATCTAGGAACTCATCAGGGTGGCAATTAAGAGTCTTAGGTCCTTATCCTGGCCTTAGTTTTCTCCACTGACTAATGGGGACAACATCCTTGTCCTGCTCACCTCTCTGGAGAGGTGTCAGCAGCAGATGGATCTGGGTAAGAAACCCGTGCCAGTGAGGGGCTCAGGGAGGGATGAAAAGAAAGGAGTGCCCTGGCCAGTGTGTCTCCGTGGTTAGAGTGTCATCACGTGCACTGAAGAGTCACAGGTTCAATTCCTGATCAAGGGCACATACCTGGGTCGCAGGTTCGATCCCCAGCCTTGATCGGGGCGTGTGTGGGAGGCAACAGGTCCACATGTCTCTCTTATATCGATGTTTCTCTCTCTCCCCCTCTCCCTTCCTTTGTCTGAAATCAAATTTTTTAAAAAAAGAAAAAAAAGTTTGTT